AGAATTCAGTCTTTCACTACAAACAGACGCTACGTTACTTAGGCCAAATAAAGCCGTGTGTGCGTTTTCATTAAGATAAATATTACTGTAATCACTAATCTTTCCTATATAACCATCCTGGGAGTTATGGAAGTTACAACTCCTGGTTGACAGCACAGTAGTTTAGGATGAACTATTTGCTGTTCTCCATCTTCACTGAGAGGCGGGGCTCATCATTTCGGTATTAATTATGAAATTGTAACATCGTAAAATCTATGGCCAGAGGAAGCAGATACTTCCGAGCTTTGAAACTGATGAAACTGCACACGTCTCTGATCAGGGATAAGGCTGTTTGCATTTGATATGTGAGGTTTACTTGTGTAACACCCCCTGCTGAGTGTGTAGGCTTTGGAGCATTGTGCATCATTTTCCGGAAATTAAAAAGGCAAGCTTCAATTGCAATATTGAAGACTCTATGGGCTAAATAGTGACTTTTGCTAAAGGCCTCCAAAGCAGCTGGAAGGAGTGAACAGAGTTACTGCGCCCTGAAGAATGGGGGATGTCCCACTGCTGCATCAGGTAGCAGACGATCAGGAACCAACGTCACTGTGGAAGACCGGGCATCCATAAAAGACAGCAGCTCCCTTACTCACCGCAAGTTACAGACAAGGCTAGAGAAAATCATGCTTAGCAAACTCAGTCGATCTTACAAAGATAAATATTTAATAACACCATGATTCTAAGGGAAAATGAAGAAATATAAAGGCAATTGATATACCAAAAGACAAGACACTGATGACCACGAGGAGGCCAGGGGACAGGGGAGGGGAGGGGGGATAGGATCTTGAGGAAGATAGGTGGAGCAGGGGAAGACAGCCACATATTTGGATGGTTTAACCGGATATTGTTGATTTCATTTCTTGAGAGGAGCTGTGTAAATATATACAGTGCGTTCATTTAAAAAAACCAAATAAAAATGCCTCCAGATTTCTTACACTTCCAACTTAGATAGTGGTCTGAGTGGCAAAACAAACAAACAGCAACAACAACAAAACACAGAGGAAACATAAAACTGCAAAGGACTCGGAGTCGTATTGTCATAAAACAAGACTGGAAATTGACAGACAGACATTGGAAGGTTTCGACAAACAGATGAGATGGCGGAAGCCCTCAGCATCTAGGCCAAGGAATGTGGGTGGCACATTCCAGCTGCCTGGAACAGACCCATGTGTGTGCTCATTCCCCAAAAAAGGTGTTCTAAAGGAATGTGGAGATTTTCGGATAATACCATTACCATTACACAAAAATGTTTGCAATAGGGCATAGGCAGAGAAGTACCAGAAATTCAAGCCAAACTCGAACGAGGATGTGGAATGAGGGTTATCACTGCCAGTGTTAGCTGTATCTAGGCTGAACGCAGAGAACACCAGCAGGATGTTTCTCCGACTGTGTGGATCATAACCAACTGTGAGTAACATGGCAACGGATGGGAATTCCAGAACACTTTGCTGTAGAGAAACCAAGAGGCAGTTATTTGAACACAGAACAGGATACTTCATGGCTTAAAATCAAGAAAAGTGTGCAGCAGGGTTGTGTCCTTTTACTGTACTGAATTGATATGAAGAGTGAATAATCTGAGAAGGTGGACTATCAAAAGATAAATGCAGCATCAAGTTGTTAGGAAGAGTCATTGACAATCAGCGATATGCAAATGATAAAGCCTTGCTTGGCCGAAATCAAAGAAGACTTGAACCACTTTCTGATCAGAGACTATTGCAGTTGACTTAAATTCAACTCATAGCAGCCCTATAGGACAAAGCGGAACTGCTCCATCGCTTCTGCAGTTATAAACGCTATATAAGCAAACTGCCTCGTTTTTCTCCCAAAATTGTTAGCTGATAGGTGCTGTCGAACTGGTTCTGACCCCACATAAAACCGAATGAAACACTCACTGCTCCTGCGCCACCCTCACAGTTGTTCATAGGCCTGAGCCCATTGATGCAGCCAATGTGTCCATCCATCTCATGGAGGGGCTTCCTCGCTACCAACCAGGATGTCCTTCTCCAGGACTGGTCTCTCTTGACAACATGTCCAAAGTATGTAAGACGAAGTCTTGCCACCCTTGCCTCTAAGGAGCATTCTGGCTGAACTTCTTTCAAAACATATGTGGTTGTTACATAATCTGGTATCAACTTGAGAATATTAGGAGTGGAGGGGTGGAGTCTAGCCTGTCAATCAGGTCACAGCTTGATGACCTCATTTGGAGGTGCTACAGAGATAAATAGCTCACTGGAGGCCAAACCCAGACTCTCTGTTTGATCTTCCTGCTGACAAGACGTATGGAGCTATGCTGATGGAACCAGAGCCCTGGAGCTGAAGGAACCATGTGGAGACCCCTGCCAGTGCTGAGATGGAACCATATGGAGACCCCTGCCAGTGCTGAAATGCTTCTGCCGCCATTGGATCCACAAGATTTTCCTCCCACTGGCCTGTGATCTTCCTGCACTCAGCATCATTGCATGTGTTGCGTGAGTCTGAAGAGGAATTTATAGATTGGTATCGCATATATGGGCTAATATTGGATTTATGGACTTGATCTGGACTGGGCTGGGATGTTTTCTTAATGTACAACTTTAATATAAAGTTCTCTATTACACACATGAGTGTCTATGAATTTGTTTCTCTAGTCAACCCAGACTAACACAACATATATGTTTGTACTTTTAGCAGTCCATGGTACTTTCAGTATTCTTCACCAGCACCACAATTCAAATGCATCGATTCTTCTTGGGTCTTCCTTATTCAGTGTCCACCGTTCACATGTATATGATACAACTGAGAAGAGCATAGTTTAGACCAGGCACACCTTAGTCCTGAAAGTAACATCCTTGTTCCTCAATACTCTAAAGATGTCTAGTGTATCAGATTTAACCAATGTAATACGTATTTTGATCTCTTGACTGCTACTTCCATGAGCATTGATTGTGGATCCAAGTAAGAAAATCCTTGAGAACTTTAACCTTTTCTCCATTTATCATGATGCAACCTATTAGTCCAGTTGTGAGGATTCTTGTCTTCCTTACATTGAGTTGTAATCCATACTGAAGGCTACACTCCTTGAACTTCATCAGCAAGTGCTTAAGTCCTCTTATCAGCAAGCAAGGTTGTGTCATCTACACATTAATAAGCCTTCCTCCGATCCTGATTCAACATTCTCCTTCATATAATCCAGCTTCTCTGATGATTTGCTCAGCAAGAAAATTTTCTAACCTCTAATACTAATCTGGTCTTTAAAAATGAATATGATATTCTCATTAGGTGTGGGAGAACAGTCATTGTGCAGCACTTAACAGGAAAGCATGCTACTTTACAGAGATTACTAACACCTTACAATCAACAACGCCCCCATTCTCAAAACAAGCCCTGAGGATGCATTCAGTTAAGCGTTGGGCAGCTAAAGGAAAGGTCAGGTTCCAGATGAGTCAGTTTGCTTCTGTAAAATTAAGCCTCAGGAATTCTCAGGAGCAGTTCTGCTCTGTCCTATAGGGCTGCTATGAGTTGGAACAGATGGGAGGCTGTGGGATTTTCCCATTCCCAGTTTTCCAGTCACTCCTCCGCAGTCACCTGGAGCATGAATGGGGCATCGAAAAATGCTGGTGGCGTACAAACGTGAAATGGCAGCCACCCCCACTGCAGACACAGTAGGAGAGAGATGATGACCCGCTGCACACTTCAAGCAATCAGTCCAGGGCTCTGGGTGCCACTGTGGCTGGCTTGACTCCATGGAACTCGTTGCTAAGTTAGATCACAGCTCTTTACTTGGTTCCTCCGCCATCAGTGAGGCTAGTTTTGTGCTCTACTTTTTCACAGGCCTGAACCCTGGTGGCGTAGCAGTTATACGTTGGGCTGTGATCAGCTTTTCAAAAGGACCAGCGCTCTGCTTTCAAGACAAGGCTCTCAATTCCCATCAAGAGTTGCGGTTATCAGGATGACCCACGGGGTCAGTTCTATAGGGTTGCTATGAGTTCGCATGACCCCATGGCAGTGAGTTTGAATTTTGTGGTCATTGGAAAGTTCAGAAACAGACAATGCACATGAAAAACACTTTCTGAAGTCTGAAGTCTCAAACAAGGTGCCTTTGTCTCAACAGACTCTTTCCCTTTTTTGGAAGTGTTCAGAGTGTTGGATTCTGGTTCTGGCCCTTACTAAAATGCATAGAAAAAAGTCATTTGGCAGGCCTCCTTCCACTCTCATCAGCTAAAACTATACAGCCCGGTCACATTGAAGCCTTCCCTATGCCAGGCTTTGGTGCCACACTGACTTAAGCCTGGGACTGCTCACCCACCAGGCCCTCTGCAGGGAAGAGGTGGCAGTCTGCCTCTATAAAGAGTTAGTCTTAGAAACCCATTTTCCTTGTTCTACTATGTCCTCTAGGGTTGGGATGCACCCAGCGTACTGGGTTTACTTTGGGATCTTTTGCCCAACACCAGCGTACTTGGTTTACTTTGGGATTTTTTGCCCGACACTCTGAATTTGCACGCCAGGTCTTGTAATGCCCACAACTGTGGTGGGCCAAGTGTCCACTTAACAGATACAAGCAGTTGAGACTAAGTTAGAAAACTGCCACCAGTTTAAAGACCCCTAAACATAAGCAGCCAAGAGTTCTGCTCTGCGACAGTAACTCCTGATTGTAGTAGCTCTGATCAAAGTCTGGCTTTAGGAAACCGGGATAAGAACATTTCACCCAGAGGCGTCCAGGCGTTTCCCAGCCCTTCCTCTGGGAGAGGACCGGCCACATCAGTCCAGGGCGGTCCCGGAGACCCACCCCCGCCGGTAACCCCACGCTTGTCCGGCGGAAACCACCGCCTCCTCCCAGCGGAACGCTTAGCAGGACCTAGCGCGTGTGCCCGGGGCGTACCCGGACTTCCTGTCCGCAGGGATCACTTCCGGCGTTGTACAGCCGGCCAATGGCGTGGGTTCGGAGGCGGGCCCTGGCGCTCCGAGGCTCCTCCCCGCCGGCGTCTTGCTGGAAGTCGGCCTGGCGGCTGTCGAGGAGGCATGGCTGCTGCCAGGAAACTCAACACTTTCCGCCTCCCGCCGTTGCCCACGATTCGAGAGATCATTAAATTGTTCAGACTGCAAGCACAGAAGCAGCTGTCCCAGAACTTCCTCCTGGACTTGAGGCTGACAGGTGGATGGCTATTTGGGACCCCGGAGATCTCCCCAGGGCGAGGGTCGGGGTGCGGAGCCCGCGGGCGGGTGGCCAGGGTCCGGCCCGGGTGGGCAGCAGCCACAGCCGACCGGGCCCCGTCCACTTCCCGGATCCCACCCCAGGACACGTGCGCCCCTGATCCCGGGTGGGGTGCGTGGCGGTGGCCCAGGGCGTTTGTGGGGACCCTGGGCGACAGCTGGGGGAGAGTGGCGCGGGGTCCTTGGGGCTGGGCGTGTTAGGCGCTGACCGTAGATTTCCTTCTGGTGCAGCTTAAAGGTGTTGTCATGTGTTGTGAAGTCGGTTCCCACCCATAGCGACCCTGTGCACCACGGAAGCAAGCACTGCCCAGCCCTGCGCCATCCTCACAATTGTTCCTGTGCCTGCGCCCATGGCTGCAGCCACCGTGCCATTCCATCTGGTTCAGGGCCTTGAGTTACCAGAACTTAAACCAGGACAAGGATTTGATCAGCTGCGGAACTAGAGTGCCACTCTTAAACCCAAAACTCACTGCCCTCCAGTCCATTGTAAATCCTAGTGACCCTGTGGGACAGAGTAGAGCCGCTCCTGTGGGTTTCAAGACCTTAAATCTCTGCTGCCTCATCTTTCTTCCGTAGCTCTTGGATGGCGCTCCTAGAATTCCCAACCTAAACTTTTGTTGAGTCTTAGAAATCCGCAGGGCGCAAATACGCATTCAGTGAACACCTGGTATTGAACAAGCTGCACCCGCCAGCCCTGGGGATACAATACAGGGATGAGCAAGACAGAGAGGCAGCCCCACGGAGCTTACCTCTTAGTAACTTCCATTCCCAGACGCTATTTTTAAAATCTTTGATGAGGTAGAATTTACATAGCTATGTGTTTCCACAGTTTGAAGGGCATAACCTGGTGAATTTTGACACATGCATACACTCAGGCACACACACCTGATTGATGTTGCCTTTTAATAGATGAGCTTACTGGAATCAGCTGTATGACAAAGAGGTCCACTCCATGTTGGGAGTATTTCTTCTATTTTGATGATTTGGTACTTTATTCTCTTTGATCCCTCCAGAAGTTGAAAAGAACAGTAATCATTTTTAAAAAGAAGTTGCTTCCCCATGGAATGAAACGTCCACCAAGCCACAAAGAAGGTGTTTTATTTTTTCGGACAAGGAGACCTTATTCTGGAAGCAATGACATTGGGGAAGACACTAGCTCAAATTTTCTCACCTTTTAAATGGAGGAGGGGTTGACTAACAGAAATCCTCCCCCAAACAAAGAAGCAAACTGCATTGTCATGGAGTTGATTCTTACTCTCAGTGGCCCTAGAGGACAGAACAGAACTGCCCCATAGGTATCCAAGGCTGTAAAGCTTTATGGGGGTAGTCTGCCACATCGCTGTCCCACAAAGTAGAGTAGCTAATGGATTCGAACTGCTGACCTTCCTGTTAGCAGCCCAGCACTTAACTTCTGAACCATCAAGCCTTAGGGTTCAGCCACAAGATCTTTATAAAGTCACTCCTCCTGCTACAGTGGAGTCCATCAACTCCTAGAGACCTGGGCTTAAATCACCAGGCCCTCCACGGTGCCTCTGGACAGGTTTGAATTCCTAACCTGGGAGTAGTCAAGCAGGTAACCATTTGCACTGTCTAGAGACTCCTTTAGGAGTCTGCGCGCATCTAAAGTTTTGTTGTTTTTTAAAATTTGGCATTAAGGAGTATCTACCTTTCTGCCAGTCATTAGCAACATCCCAGGCCCAGGCAGATGTCAGAGATGGCGAAGGCTGAGTCACAGACTACCTGAAGCAAATATCCCGATAAAGGGAGTCAGAGCATTTTGGGATTTCCTAGTACACACAAAAGTAAAAGAGGAACTCAAACAGAAAGAAAATGTCTTGAAAATGATGATGACAGCATATGTACAAATGTGTTTGATACAATTGATGTATGGATTATTATAAGAGCTGTACGAGCCCCCGATAAAATGATTTATTAATAAAGAAGTAACGTGTACAGTATACCATCAACTATCAAGTAGGCAATGCCATTATGAAAAGACTTAAAATATAAGAATGGCCAAAAGGTGACACACAGCATGAGGTGAGGTGGAGCTGATGGGCAAGGCTGACAGCTCCTTGGGAGAAAGGCAGTGCTTTCTCCTCCTGTAAAGAGTTACAGTCTTGGAGTCTCACAGGGGCGGTCCTACCCTGGCCCGCAGGGTCCCTGGTTCGGCACCACCGTACTAGCAGTGAGTTTGGTTTGGTTCTCTGAAAATGTCAGTGATGTAAAGCACAATGAAATAAGCCTGTCTTAGGCACCCTTGTCAGAGCCTGAAATGCTTCTAGATATACCAGTGTTTCCCCAAGTGCATCCGTGGGGAGCACGGAACGGTTTGCGAGGAGTGGCGCAATGGTGCAAAAGCAAACTAGCAACTGTGAAGACTCTGAATGAGAAGCCAGGCTAACTCCCTCAAACATCTGACGGTCTACAACAGTGATTAGCAACCTTCCTAATGCCGCGACCCTTTAGTTTCTCGTGTTGTGGTGCCACCCCCCCACCATAAAATTGTTTTCGTTGCTACTTAATAACTGTAATTTTGCTACTGTTATGGTTCGGGTGACCCCTGTGAAAGGGTCATTTGACCCCCAAAGGGGTCACAATCCACAGGTTGAGAACTGCTGGTCTACAACCATAGAAAACTGGTCCCTGGAATTGCTTGGTTTGGTGACAAAACAGATAGAAAATACAGTACTTGCTAAATTTAAGTGAAGAAATTTTGTCATAATTATCTTTTGCGGAGAACCAAACACCAAACTCCCTACCATCGAGTCCATTCTGAATGGTAGGGACCCTATAGGACACGGTAGAGCTGCCCTTGTGGGTTTCCAAAATTGTAACTTGCCAGCACTAGAAGGGGCTGGTATAATTCAGCAGTGACTTTGGTAGAAGGTTGAATAGCCGCTGTAAGTTCTTTTAGATTAAGAGTTATGTAATTGGATGAATACCGTGTACAAAGAATTGCCCGATTGGCCAATTCTTTGTGGCCAGTTCTTACAATTCTTTTTAAGTTCCATGCATTGCAGTGCTCCACGATATTCACCATAACTGACACTTCCTCTGTTTTCTCTAGATAAGATTGTGCGGAAAGCTGGGAATCTGACAGGTGCTTATGTTTATGAAGTGGGCCCTGGGCCCGGGGGCATCACCAGATCTATTCTCAGTGCCAACATCGCAGAGCTCCTGGTGGTCGAGAAGGACACGCGGTTCCTGCCCGGGTTACAGGTGAGAGGTGTGGCATCTTTTTAGGAGGCACAAACTCGGCTTAAATGATTCTTACTTTCCAGATGTCCAGGGAGCGGGTAGGTTTCTGGTCAGACTGCAGGTCTCCCGAGCCCTCCTGAGAGATTGTGATGTGGTAGGACGGGCCTGGAATTGCATTTCTAACATCCCCAGGTGACGCTCGTGTAGCTAGGCTGCTGGCCACAACCTGCGTAAACCTGCTCTACCTGTTGATGCCCAACAGAAGGGTGTTTGTGGGATTCTGTGCTGTCTGTGGTTTACCAATAGCTGTGCGTCTCTTATCCTGTGCCTTCTAAAATCAATCAAAAGTGATTAACCAAATAAGTCCCTGATTAAAATTCAGTACAACCAAGATTTAGAAAACCCAGAATTCAAGTCCAGTAAAGCCTTTGAAAGTCAGAAGCTGTGTTAAACAGAAGCCGGTCCCAGACGAGAAATTCAAGTCCCCAGTAAAATGAACCTGGAGAAGCTCCACCTAGTGGAGATGGGAAAATAAGGCCGTCCCTGGAGTTCAGGCCATCACAGGCCGCACTGTCTGTTGCCATTGTCCCACCTTCTTGCCCTCCAACACCAGCCATTCCCTCCTCACGGCACTTTCTTGTTTCTCTGCTGTGTTTGCTAAGTCCTGGTGGTGTCTCGCAGAACCCTCAGACCAAACTTACAGTGATATGGTTTATTGGTGGGAAGAACCCACCTCGGAAGTAACAGGATAGGAATAAGCAGGATTCATAGGCTATAGCTCGGGAGAAACTTGGGAGCGACGTGAAAAGGTATTAGAAGGGGATTTGGGAAGAGTCTCACAGCGGAAAAGACGGCCTGCCCCCAGAAGCTCTCAGCCCTCCAGAAGTTTCCTGGCACGTCAGTATTGGTTTGTTTATCAGCCCACCCACATGCTCGTTGTCAGTTACCAGGTGGGCTTGAAGACCAACTCCTTCTCGCCTTGTACAAACCCTCAGGTGTCAGTGTAGGCCAACTACACTCAAGAGTTACTGCTCAGAGGCCAAGGACAGATGCCAAGACTTAAAAGTAGCTCTGAACCGGCCATGAAAAATGGCCCATAATGACTTAGTAATTGGCAATGGCTTTTGAAAATGTCCACACGTGAGAGAAAGCGCTAACCATATGCTAGCCTTCACTGAGAGACACTAATTACTACTAGACGTAAGCATTCTTTTATGTTTAAGTATAACTTTGTGTTCCTTATTCATCACATGCATTTATTTTTATCCTGTTGTTGAGAGTATACACAGCAGACAGGCACCAACCCGACAGCGTCTGCGTGCCACGGCAGGAACACTGAGCGCCTCCTCAAGTCGCTCAGCCATTCTCACCCTCCTCTTCTGAGTTTCCCTCCCAGTGAGCATCAACTCACTGCCCCTGAGATTCCCGACTCATCTTTCCTGTTGCTCCTGCCAGTTTGATCCCTTAGAGCCTTCTCAAGCCAGGCCTTTGTTTACCACTTAAACTGTTGTTTGGTGTTAAGGTGACTTCAGAGGATATGTTTGGGTTAAGGCTTACAGATTATCTTAGGGCAACAGTTTTAGGGGTTCATGGCATCGGAACATCTAGGGTCCATGAGGGTGAAATTCTGATGTACGGGTCCTTCCGGTTGATAAAACCGATGAAAATGTTCAGGAGTGGCGGCTGGGCACCATCCAGTGCTTCTGGCCTCATGGCAAAGGAGGCCGCCGCTCATGGAGGCGATCAGCACAGTCTGTATCCTCCTAGTACTGATCTTCCTCTGCTTGTGCCTTGCACCGGCCTGTTAGCTTCTGAGACCACAGACACCACACAGTGGACCAAGGGAGAACAGAAGTGCCCACTACCTTATTAGGTTAATTCAGTGGGATGTCCCAAGAAACTGTGACCTCTTAAGCTTCCAAACCAAAGAACCACATCCCATGATGTGTTTGGTTATCCATGACGGCTTAGGCATACTTAAAGAGACGTTAAAGTGAAGAAATGAAGTTGTATGTGTACAGCGAGAGAGCTGCCATGATGTTTGTATGAAATGACAGGTGCATGTTTAAACCATTGGGTACTGTGACTATATGGGAAACACTTGAAGGAACTGGATATGTTTGGACTGGAAAGCAGAGGGTGTGTAGCCGCCTCTTGGGGCTGGGCGCGGTAGACAGCATAGTAAGCTCTTTCTGATCTTCTCTCAGAACTGAAATGAATAGGTGTGCATTGAGGGAGACGTGTGCATTGAAAATAAAGGGGGGCGTATGTTTTAAATTTTTTGTCTTAATAGTCGAATAGATTGTACCAGAGCTTTGGCTTGTAAAGGGAATTCTTTGAGGGAAAATTGTACTTAATGGTCATTGTTACATTCCTCTGTAATTTTAAAGCTTTAAACAGGCCTTTAGCTTTGGTCCAGATGAGCAACAATTTATTGGGTGAATACAATAGAATAATAAAATAATTCTCGCTATTCCTTTCTTATAAGTGGACAAATTGGTTTTAAATTTGGTACATTGTAATACTTATTTCTATCAAAACCAAGGACGTTTGCTTGAAAATCTAGAACATTTACGCACAGACATAAGTTTTAGAAAACCTTAGTGGTTTTCCCCCCTCATTATTTTGCTATATGCAAGTTTTAGGCTTTCTAAAAGTAACTAATGTGGTCTTCCCTTGTTTTACCAAACTTTACAGACAGAATTGATTTTCTGTGTGTAACTGCTCTATGATCGCTCAAACGCATGCCAGGGGGTCAGCTGCAATGGCTCCTGGGCGCACAGCCCACAGTCTTGGAGCAGTCCTGTTAGCGCTGGACTGCTAACCTGGGAAGTGGTTCAACCCCACCGGCCACGCTGGTGCAGAAAGGTGAGGCTGTCTGCGTGTGTCAAGGGGACAGCCTCAGACACCCTATCCTGGGTCACCAAGAGTCGGAATTGACTCGGTGGCCGTGGATTTGGTGTTTAGGTTTTTCTCATGATCAGATGTGGAATTAAGGGTGCTCAACGACCAGACGAAAGGCTGGCCATTTGAACCCACCGAAAGGCCCCTGGGAAGACAGGCTCCGTTGACAGGCAGCTTCTGAAATACCCGCCATTGAGAACCGTGGGGCTGTTCTCCTCTGCCACACAGGGGGCGCCTGAGTTGGCGTCAATGAAGAGGCCGCAGGGCGGTGTATTTCAGCTGTCCTTTACTGGCCCATCTGGTGTAATCGCTGACTTGATTTGCCTTGTAATAGTGAAAGCCAGAAACCGGGCCTCACTTATTACAAGTTTTATGTCTGTCCCTCCCCCATACCTTAATATAAAAATGGATTCCAAAGTAAACTACCCAGAGAGAACTGCCTATTTTATATGTTGCATAGATAACATGTAGATATTCCCACTTCTCATCTGTCCCAGTAGAAGCAGCAGAATTAATGCGTAGTCTCCTCTATGCAGGAAACGGATCTGCCCTAAATGTCCACCAGGCTCATTGCCCTGTAAAGAATGTCTCCATATGTGAAACCACGGTCCTTTAGAGGACTGAATCAATCACGAAATGAGTGAAGGCAGGCGGAGCGGCCCATTGTAAGGATTCCTTCTTAGAGATTTCTAAGCTAATAGAGCGACAGTTGTAAAGAAACTGCAATCATTTATAAAGCGTCTTCTAGCTGAAAGGCTGTCATTTGTAGCTTGACTCAGTTGTGACAGTGTCCATTTGGGGCAGCTCAGGGAAAAGACTGGCCGGTGCTCACATACAGGCTTCACTCTCAGCGTGCAGTAGAGAAGAGAAACGTCTCTGACAGACTTGACAGCGGTGTCGTGTTGCGGTAAAGAGCATGGCTGCCTGCCCTTGACCTTGGCGCCACAGCTCCGTCTGGTGTAACTTTGAGCGGTCCCTTTTTCCCTGTGCCTGTTTGCTTGGAAGACACTTAGCAGGAAACGTTTACCTGCTGGGTGCCATCGAGTCAGTTCTGGCCCACGGTGCCCCGGCAAACAGCAGAGCAAAACACTGCCCGGTCCGGCACCACCTCACAATTGCTCTTCTGTTGGAGCCCAGGTTTGCAGCCAGGGTGCCAGTCCATCTTGTTGAAAGCCTGCCTCTTTTTCACCTGCTGTGGATGTTGGGTTGTTTCCAGATTTTGGCTCTTATACGTGGAGCGTTTATGAACCATCTTGCACAACTCTTTGTATAGTTAGAGAGTTTCATTCTGTTCCGAAGGCTCAGTATTACGAGAGGGGTAGGTCTCACTTTTTATAAAACTACTGTTATCTTACAACATACTGTGCCATTTTTACATTCCCACCAGTTGTTCCACATGCCTGCTCCCACTTTTATGTAAGTCATTCTAGGGAGTGCATAAAGAGCCCTGCTGGCACAGTGGTTAAGTCCTGGCTGCTAACTGAAAGGTCAGCTGTTTGAGCCCACCGACAGGTTCACGAGAGAAAGGAGAGGCAGTCGGCTTCTGTAAAGATTACAGCCTTGGCGACCCAGTGGGCAGGTCTAGTCTGTCCCATACTCTCATGAGTGTGAGTCTCCTCAAAGTACTTGCTAATGCCCTTTCAGAAAAGAAGGTGTCTTTCTATCCAGATCTTAGACTTAAACTTCCAGAAGTGCAGAATTCCTATGTCACCTGAAGTCCCTTTGATTTCTTCTTTGAGTTGGGGTTTCTTCAAAAGTGTGTGGTTTTATTTGCACATGTTTGTTGTTGGCTTGCAAGCAATTTTCCTGTAATTTGAAGGTAATTCCATTGTCATCAGAAAATATACTCTGAATGGTTTGACTCCTTTTAAATGTGCTGAGACGTGTTTTATGACCAAAGCATGATTTTAGTAAATGTTTCTAATAAGCTCAGAAAGAATATGCATTCCGCTCTTTTTTGTTTTGTCTTTTGATAGAACACATTATAAAATTCACTGAAATCAACTTTTCTGAACCCAAATCCCTTGCCATCAAGTAGATTTCAGCTCGGAGCGACTGTAATAGGGTTTTTAAGACTGTAAATCTTACAGGAGCAGGCAGCCTCATCTTCCTCCCAAGAAGTGGCTGGTGGGTTTGACCTGCCATCCTTGTGGTTAGCAGTTCAGTGCATACACGACAGGGATACCAGGGCTTCTTGCCCATGGATAGTAATAATTTGATAATTCATTATTCTGGTGATGAGAGCCTGTCAATCCCTAGGATTAGCCTTATGATTTATATACACACCTAATAATGAACACTGTTTAAACTGGCTGAAATCTGTTTTTGGAATAATAAAGGGTCGAACACTAAAATTGGAGAGACGGTAGTCCAGACTCTACGAATATCAAAGTGCACATTTGGCTGCAATCAAGGGCCCACGGTCAGGGTCAAGTGCACCTTCGCACATGGAGTGACAGCCCCAGGGTTGGAACTATCCAGGGCACAGCGTTGTCCTTCCCATAGAACCGTGGCTTCCAGATGAACACAGAGTCAGCAGTTTGAAACCATCATTCATGCCTCAGGAGAAAGAGCAGGCTTTCTACTCCCATGAAGACTTGTAGTCTGGGAGACCCCTGAGCACTTCTCTCCTGCCCTGTAGGGTCAGTGTAAGTCCGAATGCACGCGGTAGCAATGAGAACACTCAACTACTTGTTGCCTGTTGCTGGCTGGAGGCCTTACCAATAAGGCAAGCAGCCAATGCATGTCAGTTTCTTATGTATGATGTATTATATGCTGTACCCACATAAAGGCTGCATTTTCAATATGTGATGAAAGGTATTTCTCAAAAAAAAAAATGCACGGTTTCTGCACTTCCTGGTGTAGCTCAGTGATGGCTTGGGAAATCTCTTGTGACCGTGGCCCCTGTGCTGGGCTCCTGTATCTCGAAGTGGCGAGCCTACCACCGCAGACCTCGTTCTCAGCGTAGACCAAACAATACAGCCTTTTCTCAAAACACCGTGACCTTTCCCTGCTACCTGGGCACATGTCCAGCATCAGCAGCGGCCCTGTCCCTGGGTCCCCAATGTTATTCCTGTCTCCCACATGCACTGAGGTGACAAAAATCTGAAAGATTTTTCGCTCAGAGATGATCAGTGTCACAGGAGGGTCCAAAACCACCTGCCAAGAAATGAATCCACACAGTTGAGACCCTGCTTACATGCCATCAAGGGAGAGAGACCTGGGCAGGGATGAGAGGCATTTGGTTGGAACGATCCAAGCCCAGAAGGGAATTCATACGCACCAAACACAGTGAAAAACTCAGCTTTCGTTCCAGGGAATGGAGGGTAAACCTCCACAGTATCAGTTTTCTGGGAAAAATGATCATTTCAAGCATGGCTAAATTATCAGGGTATAAATGAATGCTAACAAGCCAATCGTATGCTGCTTAGTTTGTTTTAGTCTTAATTAGTAATTACTTAATTGCTCGCTATATATTGATCATAAAACAGAAGCTTTTAGTTCTGCCTCTTTGTTTTGGGTATGCTCATTTGTTTTGTTTTAATTATGCTTAAAGAATTTCTTAAAGAAAAAACTTTAAGAGTTCTCCATTGACTATAAATGCTATCATTAAATAAGGAGTTTTTATGTAGCTAGAGCCTGCCTCAGAGACGGCTCCCGCTAGTTTCTCTTCTTCCATAGCAGACTGAGCTTACCATGTTTTCTATAATCACCGACTGGGCCACATCCGTTGAACGGATCGCGGCAGTCTGCAGTCATCTTTAGGAATATTAGTGCCAACTAGTCAATTGTGGATGAGTGTCGTTAAAACTGTTAAAAGAAAAAGAGGAAATAGTTGCCACTAACAAGCACTCGCTAACAGGATTCATGATGAATATAATTCATGATGAAGAAAATGAATTATGGGACAAAATATACATACCTCGTTGGCATGGAAAACTGATACGCTCGGTAAACTTTCACCTAAGCTACAAACACATGTAAGAAAAGCAATAAAACCCTTCGTTTAGTGCCAGCAGGAGGCGGTCATTTTGTCAGTGTTGCCTCGGCTCATCATCTCAAACAAGGCGATTCCTAAACGTCTCACGGCTCGCCCCTAATAGACAAGTCTTCTGAACCATTGCTTACAGAGCTCTGCCTGATTTGCTAGCAAACTAGATCTTGCCAAGTTCTCTGTCCCCACAGATTTGGGGAGCCAAACGCCCCGGCGGCGAGTGGAGGACGTGTCCAGGCTGCCATTGGGTCATGCACTTCGTCATGCACTTCCCAGCATGTGCAGAGCGCCTGGTGGAGCAGTGGACAAGCCCTCGCCTGCTAACCGAAAGTCCTGTGGCTTGACCCCACCAGCCATCCTGTGCCGGCATGAATGTGGCATGCTGCCGCCATTAAAATGACAGCCTTGGAAACCCTACGGACCCATTGCATGCTGTCCCCTGGACTCCCCCTCCGTGGGTTTTGATGTGTTAAGTGGCATCCCCGGGTGGGACAAACCGTGGAGGTGAGCAGTTCGAGTCTACTCCGAGGTAGTTTGGAAGTGCAGCCTGTGATCAGCTCGGAAAGGCCTGTCTGGAGCGTCCTGTGGAGTGTGGCTCCTCTGCACACACGGGCGGGCGGCCGGGAGCAGGGGTGGTCTCTGCCGCAAGTGGGAAATTAATCCATTTGAAATATACTTAAGTATTCCTTTCAGAATCATGATTTAAAAGTGACCAAACTGAAAGGGCAACAAAGAAAAGTAAACAGGAGCTTCCCATGCTTGGTAACTTCTGTAGAGGCAGAGATAAGAGGGGGCTTCCTGGAAATTCCCCATCGTCTTGTTGTGCCATTGTTCAGAAGCGTAATGAATCCGCCTGGTCTGTGGTCAGTCAGAAATAGCTGCTCTTGCTGCTGGTGGTGAGGTGAGAGGCAAACCCCCTGCGCTTGAGTACTGCGGCGAGGGTTGTGAACGCCGACAGAGGCGGCACCAGTAGGCCAGCTGTGTCCTGGGCCCCACGTCTCCTCCTGGCATTGCCAGAGGTAGGCAGTGGGGGAGGTAGGTGAGGAAAAGCAGCATGAGCTGAGCCCAGTAAGTGGTACTGTGGCATTCCGGAGCAAAAGTTCCTCTGAGCCCTTGACTGGTCCCGTGTGCAGCTCTGGGGCTCTCGGACCACCCCAAGTGGAGAGAGTGCTGGGAGAGGGTCCCCACTGCCCTGTAATCTGCACGCACCCTGCAGTCTGCCGCTCCCCACTTGTTCGTGCATTTTACTTTACCCCTTGCGACTGCAGGGGCTTCCTCTGCAGAGGGCTCCGAGCATCCATCTTGTGTGTTCGCCAGAACACTGAGCACTGACACGCACGGAGGGTTTCGGACCACGGCCGCCCAAAACCCCACAAAGGAAAGAGGGGGAGAGGGGAGTGTGGGTGGGTGGGAGGTAGAAGTAGGTGCAGTTTCATGCCTTAGGATCATGAGACAGCACAAACGGGACACGGTGTTAAGGGTAGGATCTCTCCAGGGAGCTACATGTGTGTCTCTAAGTGGAAGGGCAGCTCCAGGGCCATGTGGTTCCCTTGTTACGAGGGCCTGCAGAACATTTCTGGCAAGAGGGAATTAAAAGATAATGGGATTCTCCCACACATAGTTTGAAGTCCCCAGGTACCAGGTAAGATTCTACTTATTCTTAAAGTTCAAGCCCTTGATACTGTGTAGCATCCTTTGTACAGCTGTAAGCTATAAAGAGTTCGCGGGAATGAAGCCTTTCTCTTAGGTGGTTTAAGGAGCCCTGGTGGCTTTCTGGGCTGTATGTTGGCCTACTCACCAAAAGGTCTGAGGTTCAAACCCATCAGCCACTCTTTGGAAGAAAGATGAGGCTTTTGCCTCCCACAAAGACTGAGAACCTTGGAAACCCATAGGAGCTGTCTTGTTGGATTGCTGAGTCTTCACTGACTCAGTAGAAGTAAACCATTCAGATTGGACTTTTTTGGTCCATGTGGCTTCCTCCTTATTAAATCTCATTTCATTACAACATCTTTAGTCTCCAATTTAAAATTTGCACCACTGGCAGGAGTTGCGCATATGCTGGATGTACACAGCAATGCAGGTCATTCCAAAGTCAAGCTGCGTCACCATGTTACTTGTGAAGTTACCCACTGTGGCTGTGCTCTGTTACTGGTCCCCGCTCGCACGTCTGTGTTCCTAGTGACACCCCACCTCTGTCCACCGCACTGGGCGCCATGGGTGTTAGTTCCTTGATGGTGGCTCCTAGTTGGTGGGGTTTTCCAGGGAGCTGATGGTGCCGAGGTTGGAGGTGGGACAGTTAGCTCCCTCCTGGTCCAGGGCACATGAGCTCATTTTATTTCCCCCTCTGTTAACTAGATGCTGTCTGATGCCGCACCTGGGAAACTGAGGATCGTCCACGGAGATGTGCTGACCTATAGGGTTGACAGGGCTTTTCCGGAAAACCTGAAAAGAGCGTGGGAAGACGGTATGTCAGCACACAGGCACTTTCCTCTCCTTTGGGAATTGTGGTGACGAAACTGGCAGGTAGAATGACCTGAGCAGAAGGCAACAGGAAGTGAGCAGTGCGTGTTTTCTCGACCGTCTTCCAAAAAGCACAAAATGTTGTTGCTATAGATATAGATGTATAAAAAGAGTTGCTGTGTGTGTGTGTGCTGTGCTAGAAATCTAAAAATTGTGTGTGTGTGTGTGCCATGCTAGAAATCTAAGAGTTTCTGTGTGTGTGTGTGTGTGTGTGTGTGTGTGCTATGCTAGAAATCTAAGAGTTGCTGTGTGTGTGTGTGTGTGTGTGTGT